TATCAATCGAGTAAACTGATTGATCAGTCACAAACGCTTATAGTGAGTGATAGGCAGCCGAAACGGTTTCAATTCGAAGTGTTTTTGTCCAAATTCAGATAGTATAGTCGTACCGTGTGAGCTGATACATGAACAGCAGCTTATCGCACTGTCAGATTCACCAGTCGAAGTTAAATGACTTTGCTTTTTGGACGCAGTGAGTCTTCCTCACGGTATGTAACATCCCACTACAAACCAATTCCAACTCTGAAAACGACATGAGCTAAACGATGGTTATGCCTGATAATCCATCCTTTTGCACTATGTCCTGTTATGCACACGCTTGGATGGTCAACCGATGAAGATGGTGGTGGAAAATGGGAGTGATTTATTAAATACGTTGTATGCTGTCGGCGAACGTGCACAAGTCCAATGGTATTTTGGAGGAGTATTTGACATAAAAATGTCAATTCTAAATGCTATAACAGGCTGCGGTGAATGCAACGCTTTACCAAACACATTGGATAGTAGATGCGCTCCAATTTGGATAGCTAGGTAATGTGGAATGATGTTGAAATAATCAGAATTTACAGAAACCAGTTTTCGCACAAAAGAGACCACTCTCCACGGTTGAAGGCCTTTTTGTTCAACCTATTTTTCAAGTTAAAATTTTTCCAAAAAATCCACTCAGATTCTCTCCTCATTGTAAGATACTCCACCATTTCCACATGCATTCGAAATTAGTTTAAACTGTTTCGCTATGACTTCCTCAGTAAAAAGCGAGGATGAATCTAACTACACTCGGGCTCGTGGGATGCTCCAACCCTCCATAGGAAAAATTCAGAACGTCATCACCAAAGAGAATACACACATCCTGAAGTTCTTCTTTGGAAGCAGAAAATAAACTCTACATCACGTGCGAAGATTTTGACCATTTATGTTGAGATATTTAAATTTCTCAGAGCCGTTTGCAACTCATCTAATTTAGCACAACCCTTATAAGTGAATTAGAACTATATGACGAATGTCGAACACAGATAACGTAGGTAATTTTATAAAAGGACGAATTACGTGCTTCCTGAAAACTGGAACTGCGGCTCAGTTTCGCTGCCTGGTTGTTCGTTTATTCACCGAGACTTCATAGTCTGATTAAAACTTGACTTATGCAATTAATGAGACGTTATGTGTACGTGATTTAATCCATGTTTTTCTCTTGTGCCTCCTTTTATATAGTTTTTTTGTATATACTGGTTAGTTGTTGGACAACGTTTGCGCAAAGGCACAATTAGTTCACGTGGAATTGTGCTTCGTTGGGATTGCAGTCAGCTGCAAATGAGTGATATGTTGAATGTCTTTACAGCAACCTTTATGTTCACCATTTCAGACAGGTTTGGAAAACAATCGGTGCCATTTCTGCACCCTCTATTCTGGTGGTGTTTACGTACCGCTCATGCTCACCAATTCCGATGTGAAATGTTTTGTCTGTCTGACCAGTGTAAACCATTATGCAGTCGGTACAATTTATTTTGTGTGCAGAGTCCCTAGTCCGATCAACCGGAAGATGACCCTTCAACTGCACCGGTGTTGAGCGTAAGGTCTTTACCTTCTGTAAAGCTACTTTAGTGCTAAGCGTATTTAACACCCTTGTGATAACTCCATATATCTGTGTTTTGTATGTTCAACTCCTTGTGTGGTTTTTTGTTACGACATTGCCTCTTAGTTAAGCCCACTGGGTATCCGCTGTATTGAAGTCGATCTTTTACTTGAGTTATGCTGCTCTTCGGTCGACCTCCTCTGCGCGCAGTGTCTGTACCCTACTAAATATCAGTGAAATTGTACTAGCACACCCTGCCTCTGGGTATGCTGAGGAACAGTTTAAGATCGCATCACTGTCCGCTGATTTTCGGCGAAAAGCTGTTTTTATTTCCCTTGTCATGAAGCCAAGGAAGGGTAATTTACCCGATATAGAATTCAGCTGCATGTTAATGTGTGGGTCTAAATTGTTAAACCAATAAAAAACTCATTAATGTCCCCGCGCTTCATCACAACGCACCTCTCATCAGTAGACAGTCAGAACCGTCCAAAACATATTGGCCAAGTTGGGGATATTGGAGATCCCATTGCAAGGTTTTGTTCTTGGGAGTATTCAACTTCGTGAAAAACAAAGTGGCTGGGGTTTGACTTTTGTTATGCCTTCGTCTGTCTCGTCCACGGACAGTTGCTTCCGTTTTCGAATCGCTCTGCGTGCCAGTAACATCCGCCTCATTATTTGCACAGCGTCCGCTTCAGGGTCAGTGGCATACATCCATTTGACCTCAGGGCCAACGATAGCTTTGTCTAGCTCTTACTGAAACCTAGCTACTTCTAGCAAAGTAATACGAATTTTGGATATGCTTGAATGCCGTACCGGCATTTGGTTTAAAGACGACTGCTGGAAATCTGGCCAGCTCATGTAAAGGCGAACCTATGTTGACCACTAACGTTCTTTTGGGGTCACCTTCCTCATGAATTTCAGGTATCTCACGAAGTCATGGTTGGATTACACTTTTGGGTATAATATGTACCAGTGGCCTTTCCCCAAACGGTCTAACACTTATCTTAAATACTTTCAAAATTCAACCTGAGTGTTATTTACTATTGACGTGATCATCCCGTGGCTAATTTGTCGGCAAGGCCTATCAGCTAAATGTTGTCTGACTTCCTGCAGATAGTCACAATTATTCACGGTAAACATGGACTTACCCTCACCTGCATTTGTGCCTACTGTGGCGTCTACATGTTTAAAATGTCCAAGGCTCTTCGTTTTGTTTGTGTAATATTAGGAACCCAAGGTTGTTGGGACTTTGGGGCTGTGAGCAGCTGCCCGAGTAATTTATCTGATTCCACGGATGGTAGCCTCTAAAGCACGGAATTTTCACTAGGAATGAACTATTCCGGCGTTCACTTGCTACAAACGTCAATATTTTTCTAACGTCATGCTTCCCTTAAGGTTCTATCTAACTACGCTGCAACAGGTATCAGACGTTGGTTGCTGATCAGGTGTCTGCTGATGTGTTCAACGAGCTTGAAAATTGGCTTGAAAACGTTGCGTGGGTGACCTGCCCAACTGCGCACTGAATATGTCTGCTCCATAGAGCTTGAAGTCCGGCTGAATACTACATAGAAGGAGGATGCAACTTCGAAATCAAACTAACGATTCAATTAGGGTTTTTCGCCTCAGTAAGAAAGATAATGTTATCCGTAAATTACGGTTACACACAGAATGTGTTACCTTCTGTTAGCCAACGAAATTTCATCCCTTTCGCTGGATAGCTCAATAACGGACTCTGAACCTGAATGTTGTTGAAGCCTAGTGTGAATATTCTATTGAGTAATCGCACCACGCTTGATCTTTAGTTCTAAAAACAACTGTAAGCCACAAAAATTGTTCATAGGTTGCACTCTAAAACGCTTCTTGATAGAAATTGTCTATCATGGTGACATCAGATATTTAACGTTTCAAAGTTCGAAGGTTCATAGAAATACAAAGGTCCACAGTTGATTGCTATAAATTTAAAACTATCTCAATTATTTCAGCGGACATTGGGCGAGGATGGCGATATTTTATGCTATATTGTTGGTGTTTTTGTTTGCAAGCAAATGTAAAGGCGGCCAAACCAAGTACACACAATCGTCAGTCATACAGCCAAAGAATTGAGCGGGTGATGAATTGACAGGCTACCGAGGAAGGTTGATGACGGACGTCAAAGACTGAGCAATTGCAGGGCATGCATTGAACACTGCGTAAGGGTAGATTTGGAAAATTTGGACATTTTGGAACGGGAACTAAGATCCACACCACATCGACTGGTGGCTGAGGCGGAGGAAATCGCCAAGCATCCCACCGTGAATAGAATACGGGGTTTAGAACTGGCAAGCGTGTGAAGAGCGGATCAGATAGGTGGCTATCAGAAAAATGGTCTGGGTCTGGAAGTACAAAATGCACTCCTTCGTTGACCTCGCTCTAAATTTCCTGTCATCCCTAGGGGCACACAGACCAACAAAACCTGAGAACGACTTTTAATAGAAATATTCCATTCCTAGGCCGGAAAAACAAGCTCACAAAATCCGGATCCGACATAAAGACAATCCCCTAACCAATCCGAACCATCAACCTGGTTACTTACTCACTTGGCCTTACAAAGATGAGTCAAAAGCAAAACTTTGCCCAACAATCAATTCACCTGTTATTCATCAAAACTCTCTGATACGTTGTCGTTTGTTCGTCTCCACAATCGGTTAAATGTGTTTGCTTTTTTGACTAGCTCTGTTTAGCTTGACACGTTTACTCACTGGTAGTTACGCAGAACCCAGTTCCTCGGTAAACTGTTTCCCTTTTGTGGTGAGTACCTGGCCACTCTCCCAAAGTGACCGATGCCACCTGTCTATGTGGATTAAAATACGTGACACTGGGTCTTGCCTTAATTTGCGCTGCTTGTGTTCACTTGAACACATAACTGAACGCTAGCTCCCAAC